TGTTAGTTTCTGATTAAGTATCCAAAGTTTTTCCCATTTAGCGAATTCCACATTATAACCAAAATTTTTCGTCCTTGGGCTGCTTTCGTGGCCCAGAGTAGCAGGAGCCCCCCCCCCCTCCTGCTGCTTGCTAGCAAGTCGGGGGAAGACCGGGGGCCGTTTGTACCGGGGCCCCAGCCACATCTCTCAGTCCTGGTTTCCTGGTTTGGGGGCAGCTTTTCTTGTAAACTCCAGGGATGAGCTGGCTGACCCAAGAGGCATCTTTTCCCCCAACCCCCCTGTTGTCGTTCCTCCACCAGCTGCCCGCCGTCCCTGGCAGGAGGAGCCTCCCCAAGGGTGCAAACGGGAAGGTGGACTGCCGAACCTTGGTGAACCAGCTCCGTGAATGCCAGACGCTGCAGGAGCAGGCCAGCTGCCTCCATCTCCTCCACACCCTCAAGTAGGAGCAAGGCGCAGCCCTCTCCCTTCTTTTCACCCTGCAGCCCCAGGGAGGGAGACTCGCCCTGGGAAAACTCTGCCCCTGTGGGGTCTCCCCCGGAAGGGATCGGCCTGGGGCGCCTGTAATGATTTGCGGAGAAGGGAGGAAGCCCGTTCCTAGCAGGGTTAAGCCAGCCAGTTCCGTTGTGCTGCTCTCCATGCTCTGGCTAACTGGGTGCCCGCTGATGCCCTGGACGGCCCCTTTCTCTGACCAGCTCCAGTTCTGCTTTCAGGGGTCCCGACTGGGACACGGAGATCCATGGCACCAGTGGGGCCACCGTCAAGAGCCTCCTGGCAGAGCTCTACGGCAAAGCTGGGGCGACTCGCCAATGGGCCCTGATCCGCTACATCTCTGGCATCCTGAAGAAGAAGGTGGAGGCCCTGGACGAGGTACTGGACCTTGGCCTGGGGTGAATGGGCCCCTTCCGCACCCCCCCCCTTCTCCCTTCTTCTGCCCACTGGAGCAACTCCTCTCTCTAGGCCTGCACAGACCTCCTGTCCCACCAGAAGCACCTGACCGTGGGGCTGCCCCCAGAGCCTCGAGAGAAGACCATCTCTGCGTGAGTCCCCGGCCTGATTGTCGGCTCTGGCTAAATTGTTACCGTCTTTATTGCTTAAGCAGACAGAGAAAGGAAGGAAGGAAGTATATCATTATAGCGGTCGTTACAATTCTATAGTTATGTAATGCAACGGTTGAAGTCGGAGACAGTTGGCGGTGGGCTTCTCCTTCCCGGAGTCCTGTGTAGGTCAGCCCCCACCACCACATGCTTAGCTTTCCCAAAGTGGCTCCGGCAGCCTCCTGACCCCAAAGGGACCTCCAGGCCCTGCTCGTGTTCAAGGTGTCAAGGCTCCAAATAGCATCCAAAAGGAAATCAGAATCCAAGGCAAAGGATTCCTCAAAGTTCCAATTTATGAAGGGAGCTATGTTTTGGCACATCTGGGAAAACCC